GGGAGGCTGAGGCAGAGAATTGCTTGAACCTTGGAGGTGGAGGTTGCAGAGCCGAAACTGCCACTGCACTCCAGCCTGGACAAGAGAGTGAGACCCTGTCTCAAAAACAAAAGGGGATTTCACCATGTTGCCCCAGGCTGGTCTTGAACTCCTGAGTTGAAGTGATTTGCCCTCCTCAGCCTCCCAAAGTGCTGGGATTACAGGTGTGAGCCACCGCACCCAGCCTGGGCCTGATAATTTAAGGGGACTCACAGTTCTCAGATTAAAAGTTTGTTTTCTTTCTCGGGACTCCCTCTGCCCACTCACTCCTCCTCCCGAGTCCTTTCCCCTTCTCAAGTGCAGCCTGTGGCAGGGCCTGGAGGGGACCCTTGACACCATGCCCCTCACCGAGAATCCAAACCCCTGACCCCGCAGTGAGTTTCTGGCAAGAACGGGAGCGTGATAGGCTTTGCCGAGCACCAGCTTGGTTGTGGGCGGTTTCCTTCAGTGACTGTTCGGCTTTTTGTCTTTGCAGGTTCTGCTTGGATTCTGCTAGACAGACCCGACAAAGACTGTCTATCAACTGGTCCAATTTTAGCCTGAAAAAAGCCACCTTTGCTGCCCACTGAATGAGGACTGCCTGGAGAGGGACACGCGAGAGGCAGGCCAGGCTGCACCACTCCAAGAGCCAAGCCCCTCGCTGGCGCCCCAGAGCCGCGGTGCTTGCCAAGGGCTGTGCGGAGCTGGTGCTGCCTGAAACCCCAGACCGAGAAGTTGATGCTCGGCCCACGCTGTTAGCTCGTGTGCGTGTAGTCTGTGCGTGAGACTCCTTCGATTGTAGCTCTGTGCTGTCGGATTGGAACAGTAGTTCCCGCCAAGTTCTCCCACTACCACGGCCTCGGAGGCCTGGGCCGTGGCCAGATAGGAGTTTGCATCATCCACGTGACTCCGTTGCCTCTGCATTGCGCCCTGTCCTGTCATCTGTCCTCACCGGGGTATCGGCCATCACTCAGCTCTCCTGTGCCCCTGCGTCCCACCCTCGGCGGGCTGGGCGGGGCAGGCCTCCTTTGTTCTCCACAATCTACTGTCTCCGAGTGTACACGTTGCGCTGTTTGTGTTTGATCCCCCCTGACTTGTAGCCAGCTTGTGTAAGATCCCTTGCAGAACGAGAAAGTTAAAAACAAGCCCACCCAGTACTCACACCATCAAGTCTGTTATAGAGTGTACGACTGTATTAACACGGAGGCCTGCCTGGCTACTTTTTTAACATATTGTTAAGTAATATTAAAATCATGTCTTTCTTTTTGAAAGATGGAATACATTAGTACAGCAGGAGACCTCGGCTGCTTCTTTCTGCTGGGGGGATGGGGGGATAGTGGGAGAGGGCATGCAGGTGATGTGTCCACCATGGGGGAGCCAGGGCACCACCCCGGATCAGGTCCCAGGTCTCTCCAGGCAACAGCTCAGCGATCCTGGTGCCCCCGCCATCCTCTGTGTGCCAGGCAGAGCAGGCAGCAGGAGACAGAAAGCTCCCAAGGAGCTGCATCATGGTTACTTCTCACCACCTAGAACACTCAGTAGCTCCCACTTCTCCCAGCCTCATGTTCCACCTGCCTCTGTGCCCCATCAAAGTATGACCTCACCCTGAGTGAAGGTGAAGAGGGCAGGGCCTGGCTGGGGAGAGGGTAGGGAGGGCCAGCTTCTGGAGGTATTTGGACGATGAGGCCACAGGATTTCCTGGTGGACAGGACGCAGGTAGGAGGAAGAGGGGAAGACCTGCGCTGTGTACCTGGAGGTGGGACTGGAGACCAGTCGTGGACGGTGAGTCTGGGATGCCACCAGCCACCCAGGTGAGAGGTCTGGAACTGGGGACTGCTGTTCATGGACTGAGCCTGGGTGAGGGCCCCGCAGGGGTGAGTCAATGGGATGGGGGCCGGAGCTGTGGAACCAGGAAGGCAGAGGGTGAGGAGGCTTCGGGGCAGGTCAGGGGAGACAAGGCCCAGGGCAGCCCCGCCCAGGCATCAGTTTGCAGGAGAATGAGGGGGGGACAGCAGGTCCTAGAACTCTGGAGATTGCACGAGAGCTGAAAAAGGGTCACCAGCCAACGGGAGGTACAGCATGAGGAGCTTTCCTCGCTTTTTTTTTTTTTTTCCAGGTGTGAGGAAGAGAACATTGCTTTGTTCGTGGAACGATAGGGCAGAGAGTGAAGCAGGTCGGGCCATGACCACAACAGTAGTGTCCTTGAGAGGCAGAAACCCCAGTGCAGGGCAGGCCCCCGGGACTCCAGCCGCCTCTTCTGACTGCGGTGGGGGCTGGGAAAAGGCCCAGGCCTGGGCCTCGCCCTATGGAGAAGCTGCGTGCCCAGGCCCCCAGAGCCTGCCCTGCTCTCTCCTTGGACAGCCTTGACACTGTGCTGGGGGCCAGTCCCACATCTGCATCTCAGCCTCTTCCATGTAGAAGAGGAGGAGTAGAACCATGCCTGTTGCTGAGGTAAACTGCAGGGTCCTGAATGGTGATGGGGAACTCTGGGTGCCCCAACACACTGAGTACCATGCTGGGACCTAGAGACCCTCAGACGCCCACCCCACATGCCCAGTTCTGGGCACTCCCATCACCTCCATGGCGACCCTGCCTGCGGCTTCACAGCTCTGCCTGCTCTGGCCCCTGACCTGCACCTGCTCACTTTGGCCCTCAGGCTCCCAGCCATTCTCCTGGCCATGCCCATGCCAGGAAGGACTTCCTCTATTTCCCTGGAAACCACTCATCCAGCATCCCAGGATGCTTGTAGAACATCCAGCTCCAGGGTCCCTGACTTGATGGGAGTCCCTGGGGTTCCTGGTGACATCACTCCCCTGTGGGGGAGGGTGGGGCCGCCCTGGGGGAGCCTCACACTTGACTCAATAGTACAGGGTGAGTATCCCTTATCCCTTATCTGGCATCCTCAGTACCAGAAGTGTGTCCAGTTTCAGACTTTTTAGATTTGGAATATTTGCATCGTACTTACCGACTGAGCATTTCTAATCCAAAAATCTGAAATCCAAAATGCTCCAATGAGCATTCCCTGGGAGCATCATCTTAACACTCAAAAGGATTTGAATTTTGGAACCTTTCGGGTTAGGCATACTCAACTTGTAATAGTCATGAAATGAAACAGAATAACAATAGCTAGAAAGGAAACATTAACAGTGAACAGTTGTATTGAGAAGCTTACTGTTTTCTGCACCCTCAGCTCTCAGCCCTGCTCAGAGATTTTGCCTGGGCAGAGAAACAGGCAGTAAAACAGATAGCTCCTAATCTCTTCCCGAAGAAACTGACTTTGTTTGCAACAAAGAATGAAGAGGTTCAAGCCGGAAGGCACTCTCAGAAACATGGAGGCCATAAAACCCTGGGAAGACAGACAAGATACAGGCTCAGCTATAGGCCATAGAGTTTGCAGGAGATAACTGAGGAAGAGAAGAGCTGGGAGGAGGCATCCAGGGGTCAGAACGAATATCACACAGTGTTCCCAGAAACTCTTCAGAGGAGTCAGAATTTGATTGGATTTGTTTGTAGAGCCATTTATGCCCCAGGGCATTGTGGAAAACAATAGAGTTGACAATGAGTGGCTTAACTGCTGAATGTGGTCAGGGAAAGAGGAAGAGAACTCTACCACAATGACTTTCATCCCAGGGTGACTGTGGGCACACACAAAGCTGCACACCCTGAGGAGCAACATCATGGGCTGAAATACTAGTGGGTAGTAGAAAGAAAATGATACAATAAGGCTGCAGCAAATGAATATAGAAATTATTTTAAAGGAACCAAATGGAAATTATAGAATCTGAAAAGTTTATATATATTTTTTTTTCTTTTTTCTTTTTTTTTTTGAGATGGAGAGTCTTGCTCTGTCACCCAGGCTGGAGTGCAGTGGCAACATCTCCGCTCACCACAACCTCCAACTCCTGGGTTCAAGTGAGTCTCCTGCCTCAGCCTCCCCAGTAGCTGAGACTACAGGTACACACCACCATGCCCGGCTAATTATTTTATTTTTTGTAGAGACGGTGTTTCACCATGTTGGCCAGGTTGGCCTCGAACTCCTGACTTCAGGTGAGCCACTGCACCCAGCCTAAATTTTAAAATTAGCAGAAGGAAGAATAAGTGGATTTGAAGATAGGCTGATAGAGATTATGCTAGCCAAAGAACATAGAGAAAAAATATGAACATAATGAAAATAAACAGTCTCAGAAAAATGTGGGACACCATTGAGCATACCAGCATATGTGTAATGGGAATGTCAAAAGAAGAGCAAAGAGCAGAAAAAATATTCAAAGAAATAATAGCTGAAAACCTCCCAAACTGAAAAATGGTAACACACATCCCAGAAGTTGAAAATGTTTATATTAAGAAAGAAGATAGATCCCAAATCAATAAACTAATTTGTCACCTTAAGACACTGGAAAAAGAGCAAACTAGGCCTAAAGTAAGCAGAAGGAATAAAATCATAAAAATTAGATCAGAAATTAATGAAATAGAGGATGCAAAAATAATGGAGAAAATAAAACCAGAAGTTTTAAAAAGGTAAACAAAATAGACATCTTTAGCAAGATTGACAGAGAAGGATTCAAATTACTAGAATCAGAACTGGCCACAAATAAAATGGATTTTAAAGGAATACTACAACAATTATATGCCAGCAAATTTGGTAATTTAGATGATGTCTTAGTCCATTCATGCAGCTATGACCAAATATCACAGACTAATTTATAAAAGAAGTTTATTTCTCACAGTTCTGGAGGCTGTGAAGTTCAAGAGCAAAGTGCACCAACAGATTCAGTGTCTGGTAAGGGCTCACTCTCTGCTTCCAAAGTGGCACCTTGTTGCTGTATCTTCATATGGTAGAAGGGCAAAAAGGGAATTAAGATGATCCCTTCAACCTCTTTTATAAAAGCTGTTATCCCATTCATGATGATGGAGCACTCATGACTTGAACACTTCCCAGAAGGCCCCACCTCTTAATACTATCACCTTGGGCACTAGGTTCTAACATATGAACATATAAACCATAGCAGATGAAATGGACAAATTTCTAGACAGGAAGAAACTATAAGAACTGACTCCAGAATAAATAGACAATCTGACTAGACCTATAATGAGTGAAGTATGTTGAAATAGTAATTTAAAACGAGAAAAAGTACCCACAAAAGCTCAAGCCTAGAAGTCTTCACTGCTGGATTTTACCATACACTTAGAGAAGAATTAAAACCAGTATTTCAAACTCAGAAATAGAAGAAGGAACAGTTCCCAACTAATTCTATGAGGCCAGTATTACCTGATACCAAAACTAGACAAAGACATCACAAGAAAACTACAGACTAATATCTCTTATGAATATTGATGCAAAATTCCTCAACAAAATACTAGAAAACCAAATCCAGCAATATAAGAAAAAAAATATACACCATGATCAAGTGGGATCCCAGGAATGCAAGGGTGGTT